ATGGGGTAATTGTAGCTTAACAATTAATTCCTTATTTTTGCTTCAAAAGAAGCGATTCGCATGATCACTAACTCACATTATATATCACACACGGACCTTTATTTCAGCGTTTAAAACATTAAAATACAAGATATCCACATTTTTCAGACATGCATTTTTATGTATAATATTCTCATAATCAATTACCATCCCTATTTCACAATATTTACAGTTTAAACTCAAACATTCACACATACCCCACACGTTGTTCAACAATTATCACTTAGAAAATCCTAAAATACTTTTAGCACAAAAATCAGTAAGACATCATGGACCAGATGTTTGGAACTCCTTACCAAATTCAATAAGGCATTGTTCATCTCTCTATTCTTTTAAAGCATCTCTCAAAAAAACTCTTATATCGAAGTATCTACATAACTGATTTCAACATGCAGGGCAATTGTCAAATTTCGGTCACATTGCAACTCAGTTTTGCAAATTTTGTTTTCTATTTCGTATTTCTTAATTTCCTTTATTGTAAAGGCTGTATTTGTTTCTACTCGACTATACCACACAGAGCTACGTACACTTCCACTATTTGTTACAAACACATACAAACACGCACGCTCGCGTGCACGTGCACACACACACACACACACACCCACACATGCACACACGCACACACACAATATATATATATATATACAACTTGCACAACACACTCACCAACTCATACACAAAGATCGCTTGAACACTTTTTCATTTTAAGTTTTACCTTAAGATTTTTTTTTGTTTTTTTCTTGTTTTTTTTTGTTTTTTTTGAGGCCGCCATCCTTGTCAAGCTTTGCTTATGATTGCGGTCTCCTGCACTTTTCCACCAGAATAGTTAGGATAATACTTTAAATTTATGATAATATGTTATGGAAATAATAAGTTTCGTTATTATAATTATGTACATATATTATGTAAAAAAACATTTTGACATGAAGAAATTATTGTTTTGTTTATGTTGTATTATACCTTACATGTATTATGTTATTTGTTATTCAGTTATATTTTATTTGGAAAAAATGCAGAAATAAAATAAAATCAAATATGTGTTGTAATCAACCTCCTGCGTATGAAAGTAAACGTTGTCTGAATAAGAAATGGAAGCTGACCTTGTCTGTAAGTTCTATTGAATTCATTCGAATTAGACCTTGCCCGGGTCTGAAATCACCATTTACAAAAGGAAAAACTAGAACTCACACAAATGCTTTTCTTTTTCAATATTTTTTGCCCTCAAGCAAATTTTAGTAGAATAGAATCTCTTATCACTTTAGTCACGTTTCCATTCTTTAAAAAAAAAAATAAGGATTCAGAACAGTGCTTTTTTAGTTAACAAATTTTACTTTGAAATTATACACACGCTCACACTGTATCCCAACATGAAGTATAAATGGTAAAGCAAGGTCTTATAAACCAATCTACTCCTCAATAATAAAGTCAAGTGCTTTATCAGATTGTGCATTGACAAAAAACTCCGACTGGAAAGGCACAAATGTAATGATGTACTACAATAAGCAAAAACATGATGAACAAGTAAAACAACAATTAAAACAAATTAATAAACGAACAAATAATAGATTTTAAAAATACGAAACAATATAAAACTTAAGAGAGGGCATAGTCAGAGGCTTAATATTATTATCAGTATTGTTATTATTATCATCATCATTATCAGTATTATTGTAATTATTCTTCTAATTAGTACCATTATTATTTGTCCTTGTTGTTGTTCTATTTATCCTTATTTTTCTCGTTCTTCTTTAATTTAATGTACATGTATTATTGAAATATTAATGTGTTAGTAAAAGTTCTAAAAGTTCTAAATGTACCATTTCGACGGAATAGGCTTTATCGACAATATAATGAATGAATTACACCAGAGAACTTTAGATTACCTCATTTAAATAGCGACATATCATTATGTTCCTGTGTATGGATTAGCTCCGTTGTTATTATGTTCTTGCGTTCTTTAGAATAAATGCAAATGTTCAGATATAAAGAAGGTTTGAACCATGCTCCACTAAATAGTAATATCAATTACATCCATGTTTTTTGTAGAAAAACTGATTAACCTGTGCTCGGACCTACTTTATTTGTCACAAGCATGTCATTTTGTAAGCACAACCGGAGTTAAAAGTTTTCAAAACTTCCTATTTAATGTTCTTCTTTCTTAATTGATGAAATCGTTGTCCCATTAATTATTGTTGCCTCGCGGGTAGCCTCTTGCATGTTTGAAGATATGTCCTGCTGTTTGATAGTGTGATAAATTATTCTTGTCTAGTGGAAAGAAGATTTTCAATCGAAAAAATGTTTCAGCAAGAAAGCCGTCTAAAGGAAATAAGCTACCTGCTTCTTCTTTTTCACGTAATACAGACGGGATTCAAAACTACAACGCGAAATTTCCAACAAGTTCTGTCAATTGCCAATAAAGATAAATAAACCACTTACTCGCCCGAATTCGAAGGAGAGCTTACGTTGTCCGTTTTTGCATGATACTTTAATACATTGTTTAAAAAACACTTTTCTCAAACTTGACTTTTATAATAATGTCAGGACAAATAATCTCACCTGCATCGTCTGGGATGATGAGAACAACACAGATCAGCGTAGCGATCATCAGCCGAATCATTTTGACTGTTCCTGTTCGATCGTTCGGCTTTTTAGATAAGATTTCTTTTTAGCATATCTTCTTAACACACTTGGTAAGGGGTAAGAATCAATTGAAGTGGCTTTTTGAAGACAGTTGTATGAACTGAGACGATCCTATGACGAACGTTGTTTACGATTATTGAGAGAATTTTTTTTGTCGATGGATTAACTTCCAAATGATAACTGACGTCTTCACGTTCTAGGGTTTGGCTTAGACTAACAAAAACCAGACAACGCCTTTCAGTTAAATCACTATACCGTTCGAGTGCAGTACATGACTAACTTTGGCTATTGCTCCATTTCGCTCTATTACATTCAGTTCACGACCACATGCGCTGCTGTAGTACAGAGGCGGGGAGGCCGGGGGCGTATGTCACAATGCCCCCCCCCCCCGAACTTTTTCAAGTACCCGAAAGGGGTTCTTTTTACATAGGAAGGTGCCAATTTTTACTTGAGATAAGTGCCCCTTTTTATTTATCATCCTAACACACTTCGTAAGGTCAATTAAGTGGCTCTTTGAAGTCAGTTATTACAATTAAAACGATCCTATGAAGAACGTAGTGCACGAATTTTAAGAGATTTTTTTTTTTCTCGATAGGTTTATACTTTTTATACTACATAGTTTTGCTATTTTTTTTTTTAATACAACAAAACTTCACAAACCTGTGAGGGTGTATTCACTTCCGTCACATTCGCCCATCTCACTATGCTCCCTCGTCCCTCGCTTTTCGCCCCCCCCCCCTACGGCATGAAAACAAATCGCCGCCCCTGATTACAGGTATCAAATATCAGGCAAGTATAATCTCTACATCATAACAGAACGTGAGTTTAACATCGCATATCACATAATGTGGGGGCAAAGCTTTCTCAAATAGTGCACAAAAATTATGCGAGGAGCGGCGTTTTCGCTAGCAAAATACAGGAGTTTCGGGGGTCTGTCTTCCCTGGACACCACGCCTTAAGACGCTGCGCTCTAAGTGGACCCAGAACAATATGTTTCAGCTCTACTCCACCTCCCCCCCCCCCCCATCAGAAAAATCCTGATGGCTGACAGTGGATACGTCATTACTATTGTAATGCATTTGTAAGCTATATCTCACAGTTCACTGCTTATACAGGTTAGTCAACAAATAACTAAATCAGGTGTGTCCTAATGGTACTGATTGATTGGTACTATTTCCGGCCGTTTGTCCGTCAACTTAAAAGCCTTACTGCATTACTTATAGCGACTTGCGCCCTCTATTTAGCAAGCAGTGTCTAGTCGGTGTCTATTGGTCCCCCATAATCCCTTTTGACTATGTTAATTGAGAGCTGAATTGATGAGGTTTGAACCATGCTCCACTAAATAGTAATATCAATTACATCCATGTTTTTTGTAGAAAAACTGATTAACCTGTGCTCGGACCTACTTTATTTGTCACAAGCATGTCATTTTGTAAGCA